GAGCAGGCATGGACTCAAAAAGGCAGGAGAGCACTTCACAGAGGATGGGGGTCATCAGAGGGAGAGCTGCCAAGGATTCCTCCTCAGGAAAAATCCCTGAGCTGCAGCAGCACGGAACCTGCAGGATTTTCCCAGGGATGAACACCCTCATCAGAGCATCCCTGCAGGAAGAAGAGGGGGACAGGGGCTCAGTTTGTCCCTCAGATGTGGCACTGGCACGGGTGTCCCCATCAGGAATGTTACAGTGACACTGGGGAGCCCTGAAAATGCAGTTTTTTTATCCAAAGCCACAATTTCTCAGCTGAGAAAATAGACAGCTCTGCCCCAAATTCCCTTCCAGCACAGTGGCAGCAGTTGGAAGTAGGAAACCAATAAATACTGGGGGTAAAAGGAGGGAGTTACAGCAATTAGGAGAAATGAGTCGTTCTGGAGTGTAGAAAATTAACAAGCAAAGCCAAAGACATTGGGGGAAAATCAATTATTACAAAGTCAACACAATAAGTACTTTAAAAAATGTGCTGGGAAGAGGTGGAATTCAGGAACTGTCAATTCCAAGTGGAGATTGCAAAATTGTTAATTATGGAGAAAAATGCAAAAGTATTGACTAAATAGTTGGAGTAATTTGGGCTGAGACATAACAACGTAGGATGTGGGACCTGCCCATGTGTTGGGAACCAGCACAGACTTTCAAAACAGAGATATTTGACATAATTGAATGGAATAATTTGTAGCAAAGAGTGGGATCTCTCTGCTCCAGAGGTGTCCATGGAGCTGGGAGCCTGGGGTGGGCAGGACTGGTAAGGCAGTGATGGCACGAGCAGCTGGAAGAGCTGGCTGGGGCTGTGCAGTGCTCACTGCCCTCGGCAGCCCCAGGGAACAACTGGATTAATGGCTAAAGCAGGGAATGGCTGATGGAAATAGCACTGACGTCAGTCACCGTGGCTGATGGCAGGGGACACTGGGCTCTGGCATTACGTGACTGGTCTGGCTTTTAAACCTTTCCTTAGGCATGGTCCTGGCCTCTGTGAGGAACAAGGGCTGCTGCAGGCATTCCTGCAGGGCTGGAGAGGCAGAGCTGGTTTGTGTTGGGTACAGAGCAGCTGGAGACTGATGGATGCTCCTAGCTGATAATGGGGATTTCATCATTATCGTTATTATTTTTTTTTATTGTTTTGCCTGAACACTGCTCTGAGGTTGGACATCAGCAGGAATTTCTCCATGGAAAGGGTGGTCAGGCATTGGGAGAAGCTGCCCAGGGAGGTTTGGAGTGCCCATCCCTGGAGGTGTCTGAGGAACACCTGGACATGGCACTCAGAGCTCTGGGCTAGGGATCGGGCACAGCTTGGACTCAATGACCTTGGAGGGCTTTTCCAGCCTTGGATTCTGGGATTCTCAGCACAGCATTGTGAGGCAGATCTGGTTTATCCAGAGCTTCAGCAAGGGAAGCTTGGCTGGGATTCCTCGTGGAGCGAGGTTCTCCTGGAGCTGCTCCTCGGCAGCGGCGCCGTGCCCACTGCCATTCACCACTGTAATCAATGGTCTGGAAGGAAATCTGAAATCACAGCTGATAAACCCGCGTCTGCCACGGAGATTGGTGGAGTGGGAGATGGTGCTGAGGACGGAGCAGCCATGCAGAGCAATCCCGATTGCTTGGTAAACTGGGCCCATTTAAACAAAGTGCATTTCAGCGCGGCCCAGCGCAGAGCTGCGCGTGGAGAAACGGAACGCTGCTGATGTCCTGGGAAGTGCTGACTTTAAAATGGATTCAAGGGTCACGCTGCATGAGTAGCTCAGGGTTAAGAGGCTGGCACAGACCTCAGGTGGAAAAACCTGCGAGGTTGGAAGGGCAGGAATGCACTGGAAGAAGCCCTGGTGAGATGGCACCTGCAAAGGTCACCTCTGATGAGGAGCAGGATAAAACTGGGGCAAGCAAAGATGAGGGCCCCAAAACAGATTTGCTGTTTTCCGATTGTGACTTGGACCTGCTGTGTTTGACTCCTCAAACAGGAGGCTCTGGCATGCCTCGACTGCAGTGCACAAGCAGCTCCTTGTGCAGAGGCCACTGCCTGCTCAAAGGCTCTTTAACCTCCCCCAGAAAGGTCACACCAAACCCAATTTCTGTGAGTCGAGGCTAGACAAATCGGTTCCATGCCTTTCCATGATTCCAGAGCCAGGCTGTGCGGGTGGAGAGCTTCCCAGGGCATCTGCTGGTGGGGCTGGGCACAGAGGGAGGGGGGCACTCCGCGTGCCAGTGCCACGCTGCCCTGTGGGGCTGCAGGGACAGGGCTTGGGAGCCCTGCAGTGAGAGGAGCCCTTTCGAGGGCTGCCTGGCAGGAGGTGACATTTAAAGGAGGTGTTTTTCAGGTAAAAGCGCTGCTGTTGGGATGGAGCCCCTCGGGGTGGGGGGATGGTGGCTGTCACAAGCTGGCTTTGGGAGGTTGTTTATTTGTGTTATTTCAGCACCTGGAGGAGCCTGGCTCGTCTGGCGGGGCTGCTGTAAGCACGGAGGGAAAGAAGGAGCTCGGGATGGGCCAGGCAAGGCAGGAAACTGGTTTCAGCTGGGTGGGGAGGGTGCAGACAGAGGGCAGTGCCAGGCTTTACACAATCCCTGTGGGCTGGGAGGCGACTCCAGAGGGTCACTGGCACCTGGGCAGCACTGCCTTGTCCTCAGCTCCTCCAGAGCCCTCCCGGGAGGGGCTGGCCTGTGCCTTAAGGACAGGGGTTGCACCCTCTGCTCTGGCAGCCCACTGGTACAGGGTGCTGTGCCCCATCCTGGAAGTGTCCGAGGCCGGGCTGGACGGGGCTTGGAGCCACGTGGGCTAGTGAAAAGTGTCTGCCCACGACAGGGGTGGGATGAAATGAGCTTTAAGGCCCTTCCAGCTCAAACCCTGCCATGATTCTGTGATTGCACTTGGCCGAAGCTACCACTGTGGGTTTTTTGCCACAGTGATTAACCCGGTCTTCCCTGCTGCAGGTAGAGGTCACTCCTTCTCATCTGCCAGTGGTCCCAAGCAGAGGCTTTTCTTTCCAGCCTTTCCCACCCTTAACCTTCTCTTCCCTGAACCAATTTCTCTCTTTTTTTGAAATATTTTGTCACGGTTTCTAATGAGTGCTTGCTGCTGAAGTGGGGCACTCTCCTCAAAACTGGTGCCCAGCTGAGCCTCCTGGCACCCGGCAGAGCTGGCACATCCCAGCCTGTTCACACATCTCAATATTGATGCATTTTTGGGTGGGAGGTTGGCAGCAGGGGTGGATCCCCAGCTGATGATGTGCAGTGATCCTCAGCCAGCTGTGATTGCTCCTCATGAGGGTGCAGATGTGACAGATCCATCCCACATCTGTCATGCCAGCAGCTAATGAAAACACAGCCCAGCAACGGATTCCGGACACAACCCGGAGCTTTAATTTGATCCATGATCCCAGCTAAAAAAGGCTGTCTGCAGTAATTCCTTCGGGAATAGCACTTTCCAAATGATTTGCACCCACATTACCCAGGCAGGGATGTACTGTGCTGCACCTCTGCTGTTTGCTTGCATTACTTATGAGAAAATCAGCTAAAACAGTGTCAAAAAAAAACTTCCTCAAGTGGAGCTAGAACATTTACTGCTCCTCCTCCCTCCACGAGGCCTGCTGTCTTTTCAAAGGAACGAGTTCAATGGCTTGACATGTTTGTTTGTGACAAACCTACAGTGGCTGTTACTCATTTCCTTGTTATCTTGTAGGTACTTACAAAGAGTTCTTTTATCTGCTTCAGTATTTTTCCAGGAACTGAAATTAAGCTAACTGTTTTATAATTCTCCAGCTCTTCTTTTTTTCTCATCATTAAAGACAGGCGCTATTTTAGCTCACTTCCAGTCTTCTGGAAGCTCCCTGATTCTCTACAAATTCTTCAGGAAAAAAAAAAAGTCTTGGGGAAAAAAAAAAAAAACCAGCCCTAACAGCTCTGAAGTTACTTAAATCAGGTCTCTAAGCATCTGTGGTGAATTTAATCAGGTCCAACCAACCTTAAAGCAGCTCATCTAAATGCTCCCTCTGTGTTACTTCCCTCTGTTCGTCTCAATTCCTTCCCCTTCCTGGCCGGTGCTCGCTGTGTGTGGGACGCCTGATTGCCACTGATTTGTAGGAAAGACACCAGCACAAAAAAAGGTATTCAGCCTAAACGGCGTGTTGGCTCCTCTCTCGCCTCATCACCTTCAGATCCCCATCAAATAATTCCTGTCTTGGGCTTTTCCCCACATTTCTAGTGGAGAAACATTGTGGTGGCTTTTTCTTGCTCTCGGTGGTTGTGTTTCATTCCCCTCTCTTGCCCCTTGAACTCTCTACTCCACTCCTCGGTAATCACACCAAAGAAGGATTTGGTGGAAGGATTTGGAGCGGGATAATGATGTGGCTTAATGGCTGCTGGCAGGGAGCTGCTCCCGAGCATGAGGCAGAGCTGGGGAGGGAGAGTGTGAAGTGGGGTCTTGGAAACGCTTAACAAGCACATAAAAGAGGCGCTGGTGGTGACCCTGGGAGGCGAATCCTGAGGATGGGAGCTGGGGTCAGGCCAGGGGTGGGCAGGGGAGGGAGGATGTCGCCGTGGCTCTGTGCTGGGCAGTGATGCCATCAGAGAGGCTTTGGGGTGGCCTTGGCCACGCAAGGCTCTGGATTTGTGTCGGGAGCCTGCCAAGTGGGGACCCCTGGTTAAGGGTGGGGACAGTGATTCAGGAGGCTGTGCTGATGGGGGGACCCTTTCCAGAGCCATCCTGCCATGGGAGGGGACACCTGGGTGACAGAAGAGGCTGGGACAGAGCCGTGGAGGGAGTGATGGGTTGGGGGAGCACAGGGACCATGCAAGGTGTGCTTCCTACATGTGATGGGAAGCACTTGGCTGGGATGGAGCCTGGTGCTGAGTCTGCCAGGATGGCTCTGGGGGCTGAGGATGGGGTCAGGTTGGATGACCCCACCCTTTGCCTTCACCTGCAGGGTGGGTGATGCAACATCTTCTCTCTTGTCTGCAGTTACCTCATCGCCGAGTGACGTTCTCTGCAGCCAGCCAGGCTCAGGACCTGCAGGACCCCTCCCAGCACAGCTACTACGACAGCGGGCTGGAGGAATCCGAGACCCCCAGCAGCAAATCTTCGTCGGGGCCCCGCATCGGGCCCCTGGCCCTGCCCGAGGACCACTACGAGCGCACCACGCCCGATGGCAGCATCGGGGAGATGGAGCACCCTGAGAACGGTACGTGCCTGCCCCTCGCGCCTGTCCCCTCCCCTGGGACCTGTCCCCGAGGCTTCTGGTCCTCCATGATCCATGTCCCTGGTGTGGGTGACATGGAGCTCGGCTGGGACGTGCTCAGCTTGGTGGGGATAGGAGGGTGGAGAAGAGGTGAGGCTCAGAGCAAGAGAACAGCAAGGAGTGATGGGGAGGGGACAGATAGGTGAGGGAGGGGAGGTCTGGGTGAGCTGTGGGATGGGAAGAGTCAAGGAGACAGGTGGGTGGGGCAGAGGACAGGTGGGTGTGGCAGGGGACAGGTGGATTTGGAACTACACTGTGGTCTGAGATGGTAGCACAGGGACGAGCAGAGGGGCTGTATCCCAGCCCGTGGGGAGCTCGTGTGCTGCACTCAGGGGTTCCATGGTTGCTCGTCCCCACCTTAGGGGGATTGGGGTGTGCTGGAGCTCCCCATTTGTGTTTGGGGTCGGAGCTGTGGGAGGTTCCAGGGGGCAGAGCAGGTTTAGTGGCACAGGCTGGGCTGAGGAGATCCGTGGAGCGAAGGCTCATCGAGCGTGGTGGTGGTGGTGGCAAACCCCAGAGCGACGTGTCCCTTCACCTTGCCCCTTAGGTCACTTCCCAGTGGGGTCCAGCTTCCCCTGAGAACCCCTGGAGGTGTCTGTGGTGTCACCACCAGAGAGCTGCTTCCCCTGCCCTGACGCAGCTTCACCCGCGGTCATGCTGCTCGTGCTGCCTCTGTGCTGCCCCCCTGGCTGCAGCCCACCCCTCCAGCTGTCTCCTCCGGCCAGCTCCCATTGCTTCCTTGGATTTGGCTCTGGCTGTGCACATAACATCTCTCCTGCACCTGCTGCCTTCTGTGCTTGTGTCCCATGGGGAGGTGGCTGTGGAGGTGGCAGGGTCAAAGAAACTTCTAGGAGGGAAGAGGAGCAGGTGGCAGAGGGTTCTTCTGAAGTCTCCTCCTGTTTCTGGGAGCATCCTTGGCTTTGGGACAGGTGTGTGCGTGGTGGGAAGATGGCTGAGTGTGGGTTCAGATGGTTTTTAGGGAGCTACAAACCTGCTGGGTCCCTCTGTTGTGGAAATAGACAGGTGTAGTGGAACATCTCTTCCCAATTCCCAGGTTATTCCTGGAGTAACACTGGAGTTCTCTGTGTTACAACACAGACCATTGGAGCGAGACATGGTGGGGTTCCCAAATCCATCTGTTGCACCCTCCTGTCCATGAGTGTTGTGCAGATGACTTTTTCCCCAAAAGTGCCAGTCAGTCACCTGAGAAGAGCACTTTGGAGCAATTCCTGGAGCCCTGGCACTCGGTAACAGTACTGGGCTTCCCTGAGTCCTTGGAAGAGAGACTGGAAGGGTGGTGAGCAAGGAGATACCTCATGGATGAGCTGATGGATATGGCGAGGTAGTGGGGGTGATGGATCTGGAAGAGGAAAGCTTAAGCCCTGGAATATGACAGGAAACTTGGGAATAATGAGGAAGGAGCAGGGCTAAAAGTGGAAAGAGGAGAGAGAGAAGAGCACCTGGAAGGTGGAGGGTAGAGAGGGTTGTCTTGGGATATCCCTTGGAATGTTTGTCATGTGCCCGGCTGGATGGGCAGAGCTGAGGAAGGCCAAGGGACACTGCCTGGAGCCACCAGGGATGTTTCCTTGCCCACAGCATCACGAACCTGCCCTACAAACCAGCTCCCTGTCTTGGCACAAGATGCCCTGTGTGTGTGTTCACCTCCCAGGAGAGCAGGAATCACCCCACGCCCATCCACCATCGGATCCCTGTGTGGTACAGATCCTGAGGAGGCTTCCAGGAATAACCACAACCCTGCTTCGCTCTTCATCCCCCAGAACGTCCTGTCTTGGCTCCCTTCCCATGGCAGTGGTTGGGAATCAGGCTCCAGTGGCTCCAGCGTCTGTCCTGATGCTGGAGGATGTTCTGTGTTGGGTGCAGAGGCCATGGCAGGTCAAGGCTCTTGGGAATCCACCAGCATTATCCTGAGCTGGTCCTGGTGCTCTGCAGATAATCTGGCATGGCAGTTCAGGGGGGACCTGAGGAGCTGGGCTCAGGGTCATGATCCTCTAAGCAGACTGTGAGGGCATCCTGGCACTGGGACAGGCGATTTGGGGATTAGGAGGCACTGAGGTGTTAGACCAGCTCACCAGAGTTGTGTTTGCTCCATTCCCTGCCCGAGGTGTGGCACATCCACGTCTGTGCTTCCAGCCAGCCCTTGTCAGTCCCGAGAAGGACCATGACTTGTTTCCTGCAAAGGCTGTCCAGTGATGTGGGACCATCATGACCTTTTGGGGACCATCCCACCATATCCTTGCCTTGGTTTCATCAGCAGCCCCAGCCCCCTCAGGGAGGTCATATCTTGGTTTTTTGGGAGGCTGGGCAGACTAAGCTGTTCTTGACCTTCTGTTGAACGGTGGAGATGCGCTGGATCCCGCTCCCCCATCCCGCGGCACGAGCGCCAGGCTGACACGACTGTGCATTTTCTCAGCTTTCATCTGGTTATAAATATCCAACATAACAGGGCTTCCATTGCTTTCTCCAGGAGATTATCCCTGCAGCCGAACCAATCTGATAAGCAAGTATGCAAGGCTATTTATAGCGTTTCAACTGGAAGACAGATCCATGCCTTTTCTTTGTAGATGGTTCTTCACTTGATTAACACACATCTCAGTGTCCTCCTTTTTTGGACCCTTTCTGCTGTGCAGACTGCAGTAAAATGCTGTATTGCAGGGGCTGAGCCAGGCCCCTTGCAGGAGGAATTACGCTGGTTCTGGTGAAGACTTCTCCAGGAGCTTGGCACTGACGTGGCAGCTCCTCATTCATCCCAGCATTTGTCATCCCTGCTATTTTCCCTCTCTGCCCACTGTTTCCTCCCCAACATTTCCCTGTGCTGTTCCCCACCTAGGTGGGGCATGCTGAGCTGGGAACGAAGCTCAGGCTCCCACTTGGCCACCCGGTGCTTTTCCCAAAGACATCTGTTCCCCTGGATCCCAGATTTGCTTTGGTTGGAAGGGCCTGGGAATGCTGATACTCCATGGAGGCTCTGCCCTGCCATAATGCACAGAGGGCTTGGGTGGGGACAGTGCCAGTCACTCTCCATCGAGGGAATTTAACAGGACTTCAGGACCAAATATGAGCAATTTGGGAATTGTTACACAGAGCTTGTTTTCCCTCTGTCCCTGTGTGGTGCAAACGTATCTGAGATTGTGTTTTATTGGATGAGGCATTCCTGATTCATGTTTTTCCACCCCCAAAATCTGTTTTACGGCTGTTATTTAAAGTGGGGACCCCATGCCATTTTTTATGCATGCAGTTACAACCGTGCTCCGAGTATGGAATTAACAACCACCTCATGAGCTTTCCCAACAGTCTCCATGCCGTAGGATCTGCACTTCCCAGATGTTCATGAGTTTATCCTCACAGTTCCAGGAAAGAAACTCCGCCATAGGTGGGGAATGAAATAGAAAATTGCAGTTTGCATTTTTCAGTGGCTGCTTGCTCCAGGTCACCCTGGATGAGCTGCAGCTCCTCCCTCTGCGTGTTGGGATCCTGGTGTTCCAGAGGCATGAGGCAGGAATCCAGCTGCTCCCAGATGCCAGCGCCCAGGCTGCTGCTGACATCCGAGGTGGGAGCTGAGCTTGGCTTTGGGACTTTGTGGCAGGGCTGGTTTCAAGCTCTCCTGCCTGGTTCAGGCTTTGCTAAGCCCAGCATTTTCCCAGTGCTGTCGGGGCCCCTCCCAACACCTCAGCACAGCTGGAGCGGATGGATGGAGATGCCACTTCCTGGGTTTGGCTGCTGGGCTCAGTAAAACCCCCCCAGCCAAGATTTTCCTTTGTTTCAGGGAAGATTTAGAGGGATGCATTGCAAAGGAAGAAGGAGTAGCTTGTCTTACCCGTGTGTGGCATGGCCATGAAATCCCTGCCTGTGATTCTACTGAGAGCATCCCTTTAGGAATATCCCACTTGGTTAGCACAGTGTGTGAGACCCCAGGTGAGCCTTCCCAGTGGAAGGTCCCCTCTGCCCCCAGTTTCACCAGTCTACACTTAAACACTGCTTCAGCTCCTCCCATTTCTTCCCACTGAGTCCCACAACACCAGAATTCCCTCTCCTGGTGCGTATTCGGAGATCCCATTCAGGCAACTCAGCATTTAAGGTCTCTTTGAAAGAAAACTAAGTCAAGTCCCTCCCTGTGAGCAGAGCCAAGGCAAGGGATTTTGGCAGCTGGGTGTCTCTTCCTCTCCTCCCACCCTTCCTCGCGCTCCTCCCAGCCATTGCCCTCTGCTCCTGCCACCACCACAGACCTGCAGCCTCACTCTTGGGCAGCAGCAACATCTGGCACACATCTTGGATGTGTGTGGTGCTTTTTGGCAACCCTTGCAGAGGCACCCTGGGGAGAAGCTTCCCTCCTCCTCTTTGCTAATTTCTGATTATGGTTCAAGCCTTCCGTTCCTTCAGCTTATTTTCCTTTCTGCATGGTCTCCAATTTGCCCACAAGCTTTTGGTGGGCTGGATGTGTCCAGGTGATGTCCCACAGGCCCCCCAGCAGCACTTGGTGACATCCACAGCAGCTCCAGGTGCAGGGATGATGTGTCTGGGAGTGTTTGTGTTCACAGTGTGACCATGGCATGGAAACATGGCTGCACCTGGCTGTGTGTGCATCCTGCAGTGCCAGGGATTGTGGAATGGTTTGGCTTGGAAAGGACCTTAAAGCCCATCCAGTCCATGGGCAAAGACACCTTTCCCCATCCCAGATTGCTCCAGCCTGGCCGTGAGCACTGCCAGGGATCCAGGGGCAGACACAGCTGCTCTGGGCACCCTGTCCAGGGCCTGCCCATCTTCCCGGGGAGCAATTCCTTCCCAATATCCCATCCATCCCTGCCCTCTGGCAGTGGGAGCCATTCCCTGTGTCCTGTCCCTCCATCCCTTGTCCCAGGTCCCTCTCCAGCTCTCCTGGAAGGCCCTGGCAGGGGCTCTGAGCTCTCCCTGGAGTTTCCTCAATG